GGATCAGTCTTTCTGCGGATGACCAACTTGTGTCAGTTGAGGATTTTCTGGTCCAAAGTTGACAATAACCAAAAAGTCCACTGAAAAGAATGAGCTTTGTTTCTGCTCATGGAAAGAAGGTTACGGCAGTGTTCACAAATCAGTGACGAGGGACACATCTAGTAAGAGGAAGATGTCCCACGCATCACATAGAAGGAGAAGGGGATAACTCTGCCAAGGCTTTCTGCTGAACACTATTTGGTCACTAAGTATATTGCATTCTGCGTTGTCTGACTCTGGCTGGTCTCATCCAGGTTGTGACTGACCTGAAGCTGTTCATGAAGAATTCCCTCTCCATCATCTCCACTCACCTCCTGCAGCTCATTAAGACCCTGGTGGAGCGCGCTGCCATGTAAGTCCTTTTCCATATCCACAGCCTTGGCCTTGCAGGGGCAGGAGACTTCTAGGCTTGCTCTTTGACGGACACCAATCAGGGCGGCAGCAGGGTCTTCTGCGGAGGAAGTTACAGCCAGGCAGCGTGGGGTAGCACAGGGAAAGACAATAGAACCTCTTTCTCCACACCTCACATGACAGAGACCTTCCTCTTCCCCCAGCATATCCTGGCAAAGAAATTGAGGTGGGAGGTCCACACAAGACTTTAGAAGGCACCAAAACCATCTGAAGGAGTCAGGAACTTTAAGGTGTTTCAAGTTGCTACGTATGAGAAAAGCTCAGCTGTGTTAACTCCCTGTCTAACTCTCCTCCTCACAAACCACGCTCCAAACCAGTGGTGGACTGGGGAATGAATCTTTGCCGGCCGCAGAGGGGTTCCTGTACCAGGCAATTTTCCAGAGAGGTCTGGGACAGACACACCACACAGGAAGGTCGGGAGATCGAAACGCAGTGTGCTTAGGAAGCAGGGGACAGGGAGAGGAAGACATAGATCACATTCAGCACAAGACAGGGTAAAGACATGCTCTTTGTGACCTTGCCAGGAAACTCTGGAGTGTACCTGCCACTGCCCTCTACCCTGACAGCTGCTGCTCACCTCTTTCTCTCCTTTCACATGCAGAGAAATTGATGTTATCTTCCCTGGCTACACTCACCTGCAGAAAGCTCAGCCCATCAGATGGAGCCAGTTCTTGCTCAGGTAACCACCTTTCACACTTGGCTGGAGGAAGCCTTCTCCACCCTTGGGGCCCTGCTCAGCTGGAGCCCAGAAGAGCATCATCCTCTGAGGGGACAGCCAGGGCTGGTGACAAACCAGAGCTGCCCTTGCAAACTGGAACAGGAGCTCCCCGTGTTCCTGTGTGGCTCGGACCAACCCGGGACCCAGGCACGGAGTGGGCAGTGGAGGCCGACTCCCTGTACGCTCCATCCTGTGGCCACAGCTGCACCTTAGCTAATGGGGTGACGTGGAGAGTCTTGCATGGCTGCTAGCTGTTCCACTTGAAAGGGCCTTAGTGCCTAGGCTCCATTTCAGGCCTCTTGTGTGTTCAAGAGGGGATCCCAGGCTCCAGGCGTGGCAGCATACTGCTTGGGAAGGGAAGTGACATTTTCTGACTTCATGTGCTTCATCTCTCGTGTCCTTTCCCAGCCATGCTGTTGCTCTGACCCGTGATTCGGAGCGCCTGGGAGAGGTGAAGAGGAGGATCAACGTCTTGCCTTTGGGAAGGTAAGGTCTACTGTTTGCGTAATCACTGGGCCTTGCTTTGCTCTGCAAAGTCTTCAGAGGTGCCCTCCCTGCTACCTAGAGCTCAGCTTTGGTTGGGATATGCAGGGTATCTTGCATGACTTCTGTTTCTTTCTTCCCTGGCAGCGGTGCTCTGGCTGGCAACCCACTGGAAATTGATAGAGAGCTTCTGCGTAGTGGTAAACGTCTCCCTCTGATGAGTGCCACAGGACCACTTGTAATATCTAGGGGGGAGGGAAGCATTGATACATGGCTCCCAATGGCACTGTAATGCGCTGGCCTGGAGCCAAAGCCTTTCTTTCGTAAGGCTCTTTACTGCAAGGAGGCAGTGCCTGTGAGGTTGGAGCAGGAAGAGCCACCTCTGCTGCACACTGGCTGCCTGGGGCTAATAACAAAGACCCCAGTCAGTGTAACACTTAAGCATGTTTCTGTTCCTGGGACTACTCAAGGGCTCACAGTCACCTGCATGCTGGGGCATCCTGCTGCATTCAAGCTCCGGTCGTGCCAAGCCTGACCTCCTCTGTCCATCACCTTCCTTACAGAGCTGGACTTTGCTTCCATCAGCCTGAACAGCATGGATGCCGTTAGCGAGAGGGACTTTGTGGGTAAGCACGACTCCATCGCTTCTTCCCACCACTGTGCTAGAAGCAGGCTTCTGAGACCTTCCCAGTTGCCCTCTGGGGCAACTCCCTCCCTAGGAAGTGACTCCAAAGCTCCAGTCAGGGCTTCCTGGCTTGTCAGGCAAACAAGCACTTTTTTCACCTCCTGATTTCCTGCCTTCTCTGCAGTGGAATTCCTCTCTGTTGCCACCCTGCTGATGATCCACCTTAGCAAGATGGCTGAAGATCTCATCATCTACAGTACCAGCGAGTTTGGCTTTGTAACTCTCTCTGATGCTTACAGGTACGTCTCTTGTCTCTGGGCAGAGAGCACAGCCTCTCCTCCTCAGCTGTCCTCACCTGGGAGAATGAGAGAGTGTTTGGGGTCTCCCTGCTGCACAAGGCTGACGCAGCATTGAAAGGTTGGCAGAAAGGCAGCCTTTGGGTGAACATTCCTCAGCAATGACCAATTATTTCTGCTTCTGGTAACTCAACCGAGTCTGCATTCAGCAGACACTCCTCCCCAGCAACTGCTGGCAGACGGAACTTCCCCCTCTGCTGGGAATGCCTGCCAAAGCCCGTCCGTGACTAGCTGGCTTTGCAATCCTAACAGACTCCTTGTCTCTCAGGGTGGCACAACCACAGCCCTCCCTCTCCGAGGCCACAGCAACACTTAGGCTGGCCTGCCGATACCACCTAGTTTGGGGGGAAGCCTCCTTTCTGCTTCCCCTCTGAGAGGTGGGACTGTGTGGTAGCTCCAGGCAAGACTGCAAACCCAAAGGCTTTGCTGTGGGAAGCACAAGAAATGCAACACACTCGGTTCACTGCTTTCCTACACCCTAGAAAGGTGTCCAGGGAAAGGGGAGCTATTTTGAGAGCCCCTTTGGAGGGCTGGGCCAGTATGTTGCATGAGCTGTCTTAGCCTGTGTCTGTAGGGACTGGGGTCCTGCTCACCGTTACGCTCCCCACACCTTTCTTTCAGCACTGGCAGCAGCCTGATGCCTCAGAAGAAGAACCCCGATAGCCTGGAACTGATCCGCAGCAAAGCTGGACGAGTGTTTGGTCGGGTGAGCCTGCTAACGAAAGAAGCGGGATGGGGAAACTGCTCATACCAGGCCTGAAGAATGACCCTTCTTGCCTCCGCATAACAACATGGGCCCAGTCTAGGCTCTGAGCCTCTGCTGGGGCAATGTGCTGCTCTTCCTAGAACTAAGTGCCTCACCTGTTTCTCTCTGCAGTTGGCTGCTATTCTCATGGTTCTCAAAGGACTTCCAAGCACCTACAACAAGGATCTGCAGGTAAAACCAATGGTAGTTTTCACACCATCTCTCTGAGCAGACACAGCTGTCTTCTACTCTTGAGCGGTCTTGCCACTCCATTTCCCTGCGCGCACCCTGCTTGCACGCGGGATGCTGCGAAAGGGGCTGAGGCACGGCATGCTGCAGTTGACACCCCAGCCTGCTCTGCTGGCTGGGCTGCTCAGCCTCTTGAGCTTTTGGGCTGCGTCGGGTTGCTTTACAGCAATTTCCATCCCTGTTCTAACACAGGAGGACAAGGAGGCTGTCTTTGATGTTGTGGACACCCTGAATGCTGTGCTCCAGGTTGCCACTGGAGTGATTTCGACCCTCCAGGTAAGGCTTCAGCCTCTCGCTGTCGAACATGGTTGGGGGGCACATTCTGCGAGTAACACAGGTAAGAGAGCTCTAGACTGGTCCTAGGATGAAGGCTCTTCAGTAGCTCACCCATACTCCCCATCATGGCCCCCAGTGTCAGCTGCTCAGGGGATCAGAGGGTCCCTGTAGAACCAGGTCCTTTCCAGATGAAGTCCCCTCCCTGTTCACCGCTAACGTGTCCCCCAGGAGGAGCTGATGATAATGTCTCCCTCTGACCATCCTTTCTGCAGATCAACAGGGAGAACATGGAGAAGGCTCTGAGCCCTGAGATTCTGTCTACTGATCTGGCGCTCTACTTAGTTCGTAAAGGAGTAAGTATCAGAGGAAGACTTGGCGCTGTGATTTCTTTGGATGCAGAATACTGCTCAGCGAGGGCCATAAAGGAGTAAGTATCAGAGGAAGACTTGGTGCTGTGATTTCTTTGGATGCAGAATACTGCTCAGCGAGGGCCTGAGATGAGGCCTTCTGTTCTGTCCCCAGGTGATGATCAGTCTGGGTCAACAAACACGAAAGCTGGAAACCCATTTTTTACATGTATCCCAAGTAGTGGAACTGCTGCCAGGTGGACTTGATAGTAATTTACAGGTGGTGATTTACCTCCTAACGCCTCCCCTCTTCACACCCCAGAAAACCCAGATTCAGATTGCGTTGCCCTAAGTGAAAACAAGCCAACCACAAAAAGACAGCAAATGCATTCTTTCCTTTGAGGCTGCCCCCCAGTTGCCTGGTCACTGACTGTGCCTCTGCTTCTCACTGCAGATGCCATTCAGGCAGGCCCACGCTGCCTCTGGGAAGGCCGTCCACCTCGCTGAGACTAAGGGCACCACCATCAATAATCTCAGCCTGGATGACCTGAAGAGCATCAGGTTCGTATCGCTGTTATTTCGCCGTGACTCCCCTCAACAGGCAGGTATCAGCCTCCCTTTGTGTGGGCCTCCTTATGGTGCCCTCCCCCAAAATGCCTGGGCCAGACAGCTCCCCAGAATCCTCCTGGCCTGACTATCAGTGCTGCTACTGCTGGGCCTGAAATAACTGAAGGGGGACAAGAGCACTACCATTCAGCTCCAGTGGGGCCTGGGCAGCAGCTATTGGGAGGGACTGGAAGAAACTCATGCCCTGACCTGGAGGCACCAGCCCTCCAGAAGAGGTTGGCTCCAAACTTCCTCACTCTCCCCTTGCGGCCGACTCTTTGGTCTGCCACAAGCAGCTACTGCCAGGCACTAGAAGTGCAGAAGCAGAGCTGCAGGAGGCCTTACCCCTTGGAAAAAGGCTCCGTCCCTCTCCACTCCCTCCCCATCTCTGCAGGCAGCGAGCGTGTAATGCCAGGAGACAACACCCAGCACTCTCCAGTGACACCACTTCTCTTTGCCTCCTCAGCCCCCTGTTTGGCAGCGATGTCTCCCAGGTCTTCAACGTTGTCAACAGCGTGGAGCAGTACACGGCCATGGGTGGTACCGCCAAGAGCAGCGTGACTGCCCAGATCGAGCAGCTGAGGGAGCTGTTGAAGAGGCATAAGGAACAAGCTTAGAGTGTGGGGAGATATCCCGAGGATGCAGCATTGTGCCTATCACGCTAATCTGGAGTTAATAAACACTGGGGTGTATGTAGCTCACTGAAACTCCTCTCTTGCGTCTTTCTTCTTGGGGCAAGATTGATCTGGGTTTCCTGAGCCCTTGTGAGGCTTGGGGAGATGTTCACTGGTGTGAAAGAATGGGGGCTATTCCCTTGCTGGCAGTGGAGCTGCATTATGGCGTGTTCAAGTTCTAGGGGG